AATTTTTGATTAGTAATATGCATTGCTAAGAACTTCATTTGGACAACTTTAAAGGCGATTTTCTCAATATTTTTTTTGCACTCTCAGATTCCAGATTTTCAGTTAATAGTTGTATCTCTGCCAAATATTGTCATATCCTAACAAACCATAAATCAATGGAAAGCTTATTTATTCAGCTTTCAGATGATATATAAATCTCTATTTCGAAAAATTGACCCTTATTACTGGTTTTGTGGTCCAGGTTCACATATGAGTGGTGCAATCATATTGAGATTCTCTGTCCTGACCTTTCTGAACATTGTCAAATGAGTTTTCATCATTAGGCCAATAACATCATGTCTTTTGTGTTTTGGTTTTAGCCTATTCCCAGCACATGGAGAACCATATCAGCACCCAAAGCTATCTGAGTCAGCCATTAACCCCCGCCACCCCATCTCGGTACTCTCCTATCTCAAAAGGCATGCTGGGAGATGATGAGATCACAAGGTGAGCCTTTGCCCTCACCATTTCTTTGACTTCATGATCATGACGTCCACTTGCCATACTTTTACATGTGATGATGTCTTTTGGTTCAGATGTTGTCTGTGCAGTTCCTATCGTGCATTATGATTCCTTGACCTTGCAAAGTGAAATGATCATTTATTTCAAATGAAAGTTGATACAGATCATGACTTGCTTTTAAACTGCTACTTAACAGTCATATCCTTTGACCTTAATCACTCTCATTTCTGCCACTCTCATCACATCTTTGACAGCTGTTTTTCGTTTTCTGACACATCTTTTCTCTGTATCACTCTCCTGAAATTTGGAAGATAATGCCATGTAAGTTTCATTACATGTAGCTTGGTGTGAAGACAGCTCCATAATTTTAGAGTAGATATGAGGTTCAAAGAGAATAGCATTTCTCTACACACAAGATAAGCTGTCCAAGGTTAATGGAATTTTTAGTACATACCGTATTGGCCCGAATATAAGATGACCCTGATTATAAGACGACCCCCCTTTTTCCAGATGTACCTTTTGGAAAAGGGCTTTTTAAAAACCAAATCTTGTTTTTTCTCAGTAGAACACATTTGGTTTTTTTTGGCTGAACTATCCCTTTAATGTTTTTATTATTATTATTGTTATTATTATTATTATTAATGAAATGATACTCTAAACAAGAAACTAAATCTGCCAGGAGGTGGCGGTAAATGTCTTCAATCGATTCCTTCAAACGGCTGATTCATTCAGTAATTAAGTAAACGGCTCTCTTTATGAATGGGTTTTTGAATCATTGGTTCACACGATTCGTTCAAAACGCGGATTCATTCAGAAACTAAACACCGCTGTGTTGCTCGGAGACGCGCAACAATTCTGCTGTGGCTTTAAAGGTAATATATTCTTTGCAAAATTGAGCAAAAACACATAATATTGTGTTTAAAATATAACACAATATCAACTTCTTACTGAACTGTTGGATAAAATCGCATTTAAACTTGTGATATTCGGGTCAAAAACAGCACTCGTGTAATAGCCTACTGCTCTCCCTGCTCGTGTGATATCGATATTGTATGATATAAATGAGACAAAAACACATAAAGGGGCATTTTTTTGCACCAATATCTTGAATTTTAGGGCATAACTGCATTTATGGAGTTGTTGCCCTACATCATATTTGTCAACTGTATGAAATGTAAGATGATGTACAGGTCTGGGGGTGGGGCCAGTGCATTAACTGCTTTAAAATATTTTAATCACGTTATTTTTTTGTAACTAATTAATTGTTAACGCGTTAAACTGACAGCCCTAATATATATATATATATTCAATTTCATACTACAAAAGTCCCTTAATTTCAGAATAAATAGGTTTTTACCCGCTGAGACATAATTATGTCATCATATCCATGTTTGAAGTATAAATTTCTCTCATATTTTATTAATTTACAGGTCTTTAAATCACATTTTTAAAATTAGGCTACCTCATATATTCAGATGGTGAGAACCCTGGTTAAAATAAATAAACAATACAAATACTTTGATTTGTAATTTATTTTATTGATTTTTAACTTATTTTAATGCTTCTTTACCCATATTACCCTTATATTTTCAATATTTTGAGGCCCCCTTGGAAGTTTGCTGTTGTTACCTGGTGGAGAACCTCTGATTTAGAGCATTTACAAGGACACATTTATTGGGTACATATGGCAGCTCGCTCACAGCATTTGTTTTAAATGTCCTCCGGAGGGCTGTTGAAGATATTGGCTCATTTAAGATATAGCATCAGTGTTGACTGTTCATCTTCTTGCTCACCTGATTTGTTTACTCATTTTGTAAGAGCTGTTTGTCAGTTGCGAGCGATGTGACGAGAGCTGGCCTGCAGATGATATTGGCCGGACACGCCTTATTTTGTCTGGTAGAGAAATGTGGACTTGTAACAAGGACACACACGCATACACTGACTGGTGTGCTTTACCATATTTAATCCTCTTTAATCGGGAGGATTTGTTTCCTATCGGAAGAATTCACCAAAACAGCCTCTTGCGTCATTAGCTAGCGTCATGAAATTACCAACCAATCTTTAAAGTCAATTTTGGCAAATCTGATAAGCTTTGAATTAATACTTAATTCTATAGGCCGTGATAAAAAAAATGTTTTAACTGAAATATATGTAAATTTTCTTATGTCATGATGCTCTGCTAAACCTTTGTTCTTGAAGTGTGTTAAAGGGGTCATATGATGCGATTTCAATTTTTCCTTTCTCTTTGGAGTGTTACAAGCTCTTGGTGCATAAAGAAGATCTGTAAAGTTGCAAAGACTAAAGTCTCAAATCCAAAGAGATATTCTTTATAATAGTTAAGAGTCAGCCACACCTACCTAAAACGGCTCGTTCTAACACGCCCCAACATACCTACATCGCTCTGTGGGAAGATTTGCATAACGCCGCCCAAATGTTCACGCAAAGAAAGAAGGCATAACTTTTATTCTCGCTGTAGTATTGTTGTTGCCGCCGCCACCATGTCGTGAAGGAGCTGTGTGATTCTACACAAAATACTGTTCTTTTTAGCAGTATCATATGACCCCTTTAAGGTTAAATGATGCACCCGTAGCCATGTTGAGTGAGGGTTTGTTTTGAAAACACTGAAATGCTACAGAGCCAGTAACTTGAGGCCGTGCTGCCATCTACAGACCTCTAGATGTACTCACACATGAAAAATGGGATGCAGCCCTTACAAACTGTTACCTAAGAGCATGTACCTCTCTGTAGTTCATATTTTGTTCACTGGAGGGAGATGCTGTCAAATGTATTCGATTTTTTTTTTTTATTATTATTTTATTTATTTCTTTCTGAGATGGGAAATAATAATATAAGGGGATGTTGCTGGCATAGCAATAAACACACATATTGGTTTATTTTGAATTCAGTTATTACCTCTTTTGTGCAGTTAATATTTTGTTTACTAGAGGGAGATGCAGTCAAATGTATTTTTTAATTTTAATTTAATTTTATTTTATGTAAGGACATATTGGTTTAATTTTTAATTGAAATTTGAATCCAGTAATAAAAATAAATTAAAACTTTTTTAAATATATATTTATAAATATTTCTGTTTAGCTTTATTTTTATTTGACTTTTTAGTTTTAGTAGATTTAATTCAATTAAACTTATTTTAGTTAATAGCCAAGGTAACATTTCTAATTCTCTTATAAGTTTAAGTTTTTTTTTTTACTTTCTATTTTATTTTATTAGTTTATTAGCCTATCTTTTTTTGTTTTTCAGTTGTTTCCCCTCATTGTAACTTGATGAAGTTATACAGTTACACTTTATCTATACAAAAAAAACAACAACAACTGAAATAACCGAAAGCAGTTTTGAATAGTTTCCGTTTAGGTTTGGTGTGTGTACAGTAGTTTTTTTTTTTTTTTGTAAGCATGCTTTCCTGGCCTGTTCACTCAAATCAACTAATAAATGCTGGTCTTGGTTTTTAGGGAGCCTAGGAAAATAGTCCTGCATCGGGGCACCACAGGACTAGGCTTCAACATTGTAGGAGGAGAGGATGGAGAGGGAATCTTCATCTCATTCATATTAGCAGGAGGACCTGCAGACCTGTGTGGAGAATTAAGGAAAGGAGACCGTATCATCTCTGTAAGAACATTGCATTATTGTTGAACAGATGTTGTTCTTTTTTCAGTTAAAAAAAGTTGTTCAGTCATCAACAATTGTTCATTGTAAATCATTTTTCAATGTTACTGAAACAATGCTTTGCCATTATCAGCATAACCATTTCACAATGAGAAACATTGATTTGAAATTTCAGTAAATTTCAGAATGTCTTTGTATATTTCTCTTTTTAATTACAGCAGCACTCAATCAGCAAAGTTTAATGTTTTTTTTCCAGGTTTATAGTAGATTTTACATTCTGAATTTTCCATGCGTTCTCAGACTGTTGGACCCCACTGACTGCATTTTGCATCAGTGCTTATTTATGATACACGTCATTAATATTGTATGTATGCTGCAGGTAAATGGGGTGGACCTCCACAGTGCAACGCATGAACAGGCAGCTGCAGCACTTAAGAATGCTGGACAGACTGTCACCATCGTGGCTCAGTACAGACCTGAAGGTGGGTGGGCAGTTCCTCTCACAATATTTCAGACATTAGTTTCAAACTGACCAGTATGTTTAAGTGTTAACAATAAATAACATGCTTATGCTTATCACGTGGCTTGATTCCATTCAGAACTGGATTAATGGGCCTTTCCTTTGTAACATGACAGCTTCAATCTTTGCATTTATTTCAATTGATTTTATAAGGGTCTGTCATGTTTCATTCTGCTACCACTAAATATACACTTGACTCAAGCCTAAACCTCATACACTTACTTTTATATTAAGTCTTTTCCGCGCTCTGCTTCAGATTTGTTTCCCCACATTCCCCTTCTTGGTATTCCTATTTGCATACAGCTTTTTTTACTAGATAGAATCTCTTTTAAGACACAAACTCTAAATTGCTGAGCTTTTAGCTGAAGAGCTTGATTAGATGCAGCATGGATGGTGGACTGTGATAATGGGAAGAGAGTCAGTTGCAGTGACACTGTAGATTTGATAGAAAACCTGTCATTTGTGTTTAACAGCCAATAAGGTGTGATCTTGATAACCTGTCGAAATCTGCTCCCATTAAGTAATCTTATGTCTTATTTGTGAATATTGGTGTCCACTGAATCCTCAAATTAATTGTAGTACTTTAAACCCAGCTATACTGTGTTTTTGAAGTCAACAATAAATGCCATTCACTACCCATTTTTCTTCCATGACCTGGTATTGAAACAGTATATTGAACAAGACAAAAATGTTGGGCGGGACTTGATTTTATCCATCATAAATATATTGTATTGTGAAAAATTTGTTTTGTTTAGTGTTACTATTTTAATGATGTGCACCAAGTACACTTCTGTTCAAAAGTTTGGGGTTGGTAAGATTTTTTTGATTTCACAAAAACACAGTTTAAACAGTAATATTGTAAAATATTCTTACATTTTACAACTTTTTATTTTAATATATATTTTGCAGTTTTACTTTTTCTGTAATGCCAAATCTCTATTATAAATATCTTTAGTGTCTCTTTTGATAAATTTAATGCATCCTTGCTGAATAAAAGTATACATTTCTTAAAAAAAAAAAAATCTTACTGACCCCAAAGTTTTGAAATGAAGTTAGTAATGATTTCATGTAGGGGTGTAATGGTACATGTATTCATCACGATCTGTCACGGTACGGATGTCACGGTTTGGTTCATGCAGTCAGATGAACAGAACAGGAACCATCACAACAAGAAAGAGCAGAAGAATGAGACGATCTACGCACCAACCCAAAACAAGAACAGCGAGTTTAGATGGCACGCAAGAGCTCGAAGATTCTCATTCTAGAGATGCACTGGTCAACTGGCAATAAATAGGAACTGGTTTTTAATTGTATTTTGGCTGATCTCTATTCCATAATTGCACACAGACTGCATTACAATCATTTCCCAAAATGTAATTTGTGTGGAATTTCTAAAAAGTCTGTAAAGAGGAGAAAACACTGTACCAGGCAGATCAAGCTCACTGTTCGCGATGCTCGATATATAGGAAGACACATATGTGGGGGTTTATATGAATGTTTTGATGGCATTTTCTTTTCCTCTTATGTCCATATAATGCATATTAAAGTAGTGTTTATAAGTGCAGCTTCTTTGTTTACTGTGGTAACCAAGGAAACTATATCGCTGCTGTTCTATAAGCTCCACCTGCATTTTCATTCAGTCCATCTGCTGTTTTTGTTTTGTGCAGGTGTCTTATGTAGCATAAGTCTAAAGTCAGACCATTCCGTTTTTGCTTGAAATTATACTATCTAATTCAAAAACAACTGCTTATGCTACAGTACATGTGTGTGTAGCACTACTGTCTGTTCAAAATAAATGAAAAAATTAATTTACTTTGTACCAAATAGGCCTGGTCAATAAAATGGTATCGATATTTATCGACGGTACACCTTTGATAACGATATAAAAAATGTTCGATATAGTGCACGATATAGGCACGTGCTCTGAGTGAAGCAGACAGCACACACATACACGAACATGAGTGCTGTGCCTGCCTGTGATGAGGAGATTGAATAAAAAAAATTAATATTAGTTGAATTTAAAATAAAAATTAGCTTTTTAATGCAAAAATAGTACAATCGAATGTTAGGAGTGCGTCGGAGCGTCATCAGTGGAGCACGAGATGCGGTGATGATGATGTAAGTGACGTTGTAGTTTAATATTTTGTTAGTCTAGCCCACGAGAAGCGCAGTTGCTGTGTTATTCATTCAAAATATTAGAGAAATATAGTAGCTCAATGCGTAGACGATCTTGATTAGGTTAAAACCGGAACCAAGCCATTCACACAGAACGCATATTCAGCGCATTTTCTAGACGGACAAATATGACTGCTGCACTCGCGTCTCACAGAAGAGATGTATAGAAAGCCATGCAAAGTTAAAACAGTTGAAACTTTTAGAAAATATGTCACGAATTTGTGACGACAATCTGTGTGATGGGTGATTCGGCTCTTTGTATTAAGCAATGCACAAATACGTGATGCTGTTTTATTCATAATTGTTTATGCAATTTACGAAATTATATTTGATTTATATGAGTTAATTTAGACGTAATGCACGTTTTTTCTATAGACGGTTATTTCCTTGCGTTGTGCTGCATTATTTTGCTCATTGCGCCCTCCTGTGGCCTTGGGAAGCAAGCCAAAAGTTTAACCTATTTAATCTGCATATAAAACATTGGAAATTAGATATTTGTTTAATTTTAATTTTGTGTTTGTGTTTGACTGTTAAAACAAAAAAAAAATTTTGTTTTTCTCAATAAATTGAGTTGATTTAAAAATAAAGTGGTTAAATGTAAAAAAAAAAATTCTATTGCTCTGTTTTAAAAAAGGTTATAAAAAATGTCAATAATTATTGATACCGAACGATATGAAACATATATCGTTGATATATTTTTTAGCTATATCGCCCAGCTTGCGTTGTGCTGCATTATTTTGCTCATTGCGCCCTCCTGTGGCCTCGGGAGACAAGCCAAAAGTTTCCTTAAAACCTTCATCTGCAAATAAAGCATTAGAAATTAGATATTTGTTTAATTTTTATTTTGTGTTTGACTGTTAAAACAAAAAAAAATTTTTGTTTTTCTCAATAAATTGAGTTGATTTAAAAATAAAGTGGTTAAATGTAAAAAAAAAAAATTCTATTGCTCTGTTTTAAAAAAGGTTATAAAAAATGTCAATAATTATCGATACCGAACGATATGAAACATTATATCGTTGATACCTTTTTTTTAGCTATATCGCCCAGCCCTAGTACCAAACTCGTATCGAACCGTGACCCCAAAACTGAGGTATGTACCAAACTATGACGTCTCTGTACCGTTACACCCCTAATTTCATGTACATGTAAGAGATAATGTGCACAGTTCGCTGTATGGTGTTGTGGTCGTGATTTCTATCGGCTTCTTCACTCTGAGGAGTAGAGATTCCAGCCTGGCCATCGGCTCAGCAGGCCTGGCTGCAGTGTTTATTAAAATACCAATGGGTAGTGATGACCCTCAGAGCTTTGGCTGGAGATGGTCTGAGAGGGTCTAAATTAAGCTTCTGAACAGGTCTGTGTGTGGATGTGTGATCCAAGCTCCTTTCACACCCCTAGCGAGCGTGTGTGTGTTCATGTAGCATCTTCTCTGTTTGGTGAAAGCTGTTGTCTTAGTGTGGCTCCTGAGCCTGGCTTCCTGTACCCATCACGCTCCTCTGTTCATGGCCAGCACAGAGCAGCTCGGCTTTCGCTTGGAGAACATTCCACAATCCGTTCTCTTCATCACAGAGAAACAGAAGAGAGCACTTAGCATCTGAGCTCTTCAGTACCTGACCTTCTCTTTACTTGTTGTTTTCATAAGCAACTACAGTACACTAGAAACAACATATGCTTGCTGGCTACTAATCAATATTTGTCTAAACATTTATTTTGTGTTCTTTCGGTTTCTTTATATATATATATATATATATATATATATATCAATCATTAGGTTTTACCATTATAACCCTTTAACACATGACAATATTGTCCTATTTTCTTTCAATTATATTTTGTACTTTTGTTTAAATTCATCTAACATACTTTACGATTGAAATAATATATATACTCTATTGCTCAAAAGTTTGGGATCAGAAAGACTTGTAATGTTTTTTAAAGAAGTATCTTATGCTCATCAAGGCTGCATTTATTTGATCCAAAATACAGAAAAAAAAAAACATAATCTTGCAAAATGTTATTACAATATAAAATAATAGTTTCTATTTTAATATACTTTAAAATATAATTTATTTTTGTGATGCAAAGCTGAATTTCCATCAGCCGTTACTCCAGTATAAAGTGTCACATGATCCTTCAGAAATCATTCTAATATGCTGATTTATTATTAGAATTATCAATGTTGGTAACAGTTGTGGTGCCAAATATTTTTTTTGGAAACTGCGATACTGTTTTCAGGATTCTTTGATGAATAAAAAGTTAAAAAGAACAGCATTTATTCAAAATCTAAATCTTTTTTAACAATATAAATCTTTGCTATCACTTCTTATCAATTTAACACATCCTTGCTGAATAAAAGTTTTAATTTCTTTCAAAAAA